CCACCAAACTTTTGGGCCCATCCAAGCTGTTTGTTTTCAGTGGCTTTTCCATACAAATAACCTCTCTTGGCTCATGCTGTGGACTTTTCTAAAACCTCTTAAATAAGCAGCATGAGGTCTTGCATGCCCTGTACCTCTTGGAAAGTGGCCCCAAGCTCAGCACTAGCAGCAGCTGAAGCTGGTCCACAGCTTGGCCTCTCCTGGGTACATTCAAGCCCAGCAGAAGTAGCATGCATCTGCAGATCACTTTGTAGCTCAAGCCAGGTGGCCCTGGGTAGGAAGCAGGCAACAGTTAACCTGGTCCTGCACCTCCCAGGAGGCCCCAGAGCCAGTGCACTTGATAGACAACTTCAGACCATAGTGAAGCACCACCCAACCACTTGCATAAATGACACACGCAGGTGCAGACTCAGAGGACACCAGAGCCCCACTGAAGCACGTCCTGCTTTGTGGGGTTGGGCCCTACACAGAAGATCCTTCACAGTGGTCAGAGCCAAGTCCTCAGAGCTGATGGGCCTGGGGGTAAATCCCTTCCATTGAAGTGTCAACAGTAATCAAGGCTCAAGTACAACCGGAGGGTACAAACAGCCCACATAAGGGGCTGCGCCTTGGGTGACTGGGGAGGCTGCACCAATGGGCCCTACAGGACACCTACTACATAAGGCCACTCTACCAAGACCTGGAGGCACAGACACTCTACCTAATACATAGAAACAAACAGAGGGAGGCACCAAAATGAGAAGACAAAGGAACATGACCCAAACGAAAGAACAGAATAAAACTCCAGAAAAGAACTAAATAAGCAATCTACCAGATGTAGCGTTCAAAACATTGGTTATAAAAATGCTCAATAAACTTAGGGGAAGAGTAGATGAACTTAGTGAGAACTTCAACAGAGAGATGAATCATAAAAATGGAGAAAGAAAATAAAAAAGAACCAGTCAGAAATGAAGGCTACATTACAGGGAATCAACAGTAGAGTAGAAGAAGCAGAGGATCAAATCAGCGATTTGGAAAATAAGGAAGCACACCCAATCAGAACAGAAAAAATAAAAAAGAATCCAAAAGATGAGGATAGTTTAAGAAGCATCTGAGACAACTTCAAGTGTACCAACATTCACATCATAGAAATGCCAAAAGGATGAGAGCCAAGGAATTGAAAATCTACTTGAAAAAAATAATAACAAGAAACTTTCCTAACCTGGTGAAGGAAATACACATACAAGTCCAGAAAGAAGAGTCCCAAACAAGATGAACCCAAAGAGGCCCACACCAAGACACATCATAATTAAAATGTGAAAGGTTAAAGGCAGAGAAAAATCTTAAGAGCAGCAAGAGAAAGACAGTTATCTACAAGGGAGCTCCCATAAAAATGTCAGCTGATTTTGCAACAGAAACACTTCAGGCCATAAGGGATGCGTGAAATATTCAAAGTGATGAAAGCAAGGACCTACAACCAAGATTACCCAGAAAAGCTGTCGTTTAGAATCTAAGGACAGATGAAGAGCTTCCCAGACAAGAAAAAGCTAAAGGGGTTCATCACCACAGAACCAGTATTACAAGAAATGTTAAAGGGTCTTCTTTAAGAAAAGAAAGAATCGCCCGGCCGGGCGTGGCTCAGCGGTTGAGCGTCGACCTAGGATCCAGGCGATCAGGGTTCGATTCCCGGTCAGGGCACATGCCTGGGTTGTGGGCTCGATCAATGACTCTCTCATCATTGATGTTTCTATCTCTCTCTCTCTCCTTCTCCTTTCCTCTCTCTGAAATCAATAAAGATATATTTAAAAAGAAAGAAAAAAAAAGGAAGAATCAAAAAGAATAAAATGGCAATAAGTACATATCTATCAAAAATTACTTTAAACGGAAATGGATTCACCCTGGCTGGTGTGGCTCAGTTGGTTGGAGCATCGTCTCATACACCAAAAGGTGAGAGGTTTGATTCCCAATCAGGGCACATATCCAGGTCGTAGTTCGATCCCCAGGAGGGATGCATGCTGGTGATAAAGGTGAAGGGATTAAGTACAAATTGGTAGTTACATGGGGATGTAAAGTACAGCATAGGGAATGCAGTCAATAATATTCTAATAACAATGTATGGTGTCAGATGGGTACTAGACTTACTGGGGTGATCACTTCATAAATTATATAAATGCCTAATCACTGGGTTGTACACTCAAAACTAATATAACATTGTATGTTAATTGTAGCTGAAAAATAAAAATTTATTTAAAAAATAAAATAAATTACTACAGTTCTTTAGTAGTCTATTTCTTCTTTCTTTAATTCTAAATGTTCTCGTTTACAAAGGTTGTTTATGTTGGAAACAGCAAAAGGAAAGCACTACAGAGAAACTGGACAGGGAGATAGCACCTACCCCTGGAGCACCTATTAACTGGTGTTTCTTATCTAGTGTGAATGACATTACTTTATGCTCGAATCCTATACCCTCAGCTGAAATTTGCGCTTTAACATGAGACCAGAATGCACAAATAAGGGACTCCCTGGTTAGTGAAAGAGTATCAAGAACTCATGTTTATTTATTGATAATGGATAAGCATGGGAAAAACAAGACTTGCTAACTTTCCCATGTTGATCTTAAAAAAAACGACTCAGCATGTTTGTTCAGCCTGGCTTCTTTTCATATGACTTCCAAGGTGTTATTTTAACAGGAATGGAACTCACTGAGCAATGTGCCTGACTGAGGAAGAGACGGCTCCTGCAGATAGTAGCCTCCAGTTCTGTCCGAGCAGAGAGTGTATTCTTGTTGGATTTGTTGAAAAGGTCTGAGAGGAAGGAAGAGACATTAGTGAGAATTTCCCTCAGATAACACATATTTTAGTTTAAAGAAATCCTGCTCAATTATGTTCCCCAAATATCATATATGAGTAATTTAGAACGGAAGTTGGAAACCTTGCTTTTTTTCCAATAAATTTTCTTTTTTTTTTCCTGCCAAACTTCCCATTGTTATAATGGAAGCACATACTGTATATTTAATGGATAGACAATCTTTCTCCTGCTTTTTTTCTGGATGAAGATTGGTTCAACTCTAGTTCAACTACACAGCCTTACTATTGTATCTCCTTCCCACCAGTTAAAATACTAACTTATTTGAATTTTTATTGCATTCCCAAGTATTATATGTACATCATAAGTAATTTGAAAGTACCAAAAAGACCAAGGAAAATTAAAACCCGCACAATTCTACCACTCAGGGAAAAATCATTATTATTAGTAGTCTAGTATTAATAATATATACTCTTCTTGAACTTATTGCACATTAGCATATTAAGGGTTCTGAGCAGCCAAGAAGGAAAAAACAATTTACCTTTGTTTTGAACAATGTTTCCCAACTTCTTTGACCATGAATCTTTTGGTAGTATAACTATTAATGACCTGAGGAACATGTTTTAGAAATGCCATCTGGAATGAATCACTGTCCAGGATCTTCAGCCATCTTAGTAATCCAGAGTTAACCAAACTCACCAATGTTCAGCCCTCTAGCTAAACTCACACAGACTAAAGTTGAATAATTTACAGTGATAACTTTACTTCAAGAAAGCAAAATACATGGGTATTTTATATTATGTAAATTATATCTCAATAAAGCCTTTTCTTTTAAAGACACCAATATGCTTGTATTTTAGGAATACTAAGAAGCAGAGTAACCCGATGAACATGAGAAACAGATCTGAGGAGAAAAAGAAGAGATAGTTTTAAGGGCTATTTTATGAGGATCAAAGTGACTCATTCCTCCCTACAAGACAGGATCCATCTTTAGTTCAATGGTGTCTCCAAGATTCATAATTATACCTCTTCTAGGTTTTCCTTTCAAGTGTTCTGACAATGTCTGCAAATTAATCTAATTAAGTCCTCCTACGGTACAAGAGTAAATGCACATACCAGCCATATTCCAAAACTGCACACCGTTTAAGTGCAGCATTTCTTTTACACTTTATGCTTTTCCTAACATATACATGTGAGAGAATATTGTTAAAATGTAGAGGTCAAAAGTTTTAAATTTAAAATCTTTAGGAATAACATATGTAAAGAATATGTTATATATTTATCTGTGACTTTATATGTCTTAAAACACACCAAATATATTCTAAGTAAAGCTCAAAGCTAAACACCTCTTCCTAACCCTATGATCATCTTTTTCTAGAAGCAAAAATTGACCAGATCACACTCCATGCATCCCTCCCAGAGTTGACACATGAAAAGATCTCAATTACTGCCATAAATCAGCAATTTTCAACAGGTGTGCCACAAGAATTTTTAAAATATGCAATACCTGACTATTTAGTCAGGGGCACTAACTTCTTTTCCCTTAGATTGTCAAATAAAAAAATAACAACAGTCAATACAATAGCCATCAGGTGTTAAACCATAAATTTATAGGTCTTATAAAAGAGTTGAATCTTACTGGTCATACTGTGTAATAAGGTTGCATCTGATTGTTTAATTCCTGGTACCAGAAATCCTTATATAAAAGTATAGGCATCTGATTTTTTAAAAAGTTACTTTGGAGCAAGGATAGGTAATTACTATTATTTTTTTTTTTGTAAATCAAATTATACTTATTTTTTGTCAGGTCAGCAAAAAAAAGTTTTTTGTGTGTGCCGCAGAATTTTAGTAAGTAGTTTATGTGTGCCATGAGATGGAAAAGGTTGAAAAACACTGCCATAGATGGGCTGTACCAACTAAATGCCTCTCAATGACCACTTTTAGCTTGTTTATCTCTTATCACCCACACAAAACAAAAACACCATAAAAGGAGATGATACTTTTTATATTTTTTTATTTATTGATTTTTGAGGGAGAGAAGGAGGGAGGGAGAGAGAGAGAGAAAGAGAGAGAAACATCAATTTGTCGTTTCACTTATCCATGCATTCAACGGTTGCTTCTTGAAAGTGCCCTGACTGAACATCGAACCCGCAACTTTGGTGTATGGGGACAATGTTCTAACCAGCTGAGCTACCCAGTCAGGGCAGAGATAATACTTTTAAAATGAAAATTATTTACTGAACTATACACTATTTAAAACATCACTCTTCAAAGAGGCCACAAAAATTACAGCATTCAAACATCTTAGGTAAAACTCAAGGGTAAGATTTTTTTATTTTTCAGTCAGCTTGTATAAAGTTTAACAGCAACAGGATACTTCTGTAGAGACTTGCAGTTGGTTCAGACTCAGTTTCTGTTCATGCTACGTAGAGCATCCATGATGGTTTTATTGTACTCTGCAATCTGCTTGTTGACATTCTTCATAACTGACTGGTAATCACTCTCTTGACTCTTGGTTGCTATGACTAATTAATTACATGAGTTAAGGGGAAACACGATGAATAAAAATATTAATCTAATTGTGGGTCAGAAAGGAATCCAGTCATACTAGTATTTTTCTTATTAAATACTGAAGATGGTACAGAAAAAGCACAGTTAGAATTTTTCTTTTAATATATTAACATATTAAGCATCAATTGAAACTTAAAAGGCCAAGCAAAACTGGTTTCAAAAAAGTTCACTTACTACGCCTCAATCAAATTCTGGTCTTAGAACATTCAAATGTTCAAAACAACCATGTTCTCTAGAATATTACAAAAAAATCTCAGGCAAGACTCTAGACTTCACTGTGTTTCAAAATCACCTACTTGATGTTGCACAAAACTAGAGTGCTGTACATTAGCATATAGTGAATGGGAGTCTTTTGCTTTTAAACTAAGTTGCAAGACCACTGGGAATAGAGCCCCTAGGGCGTCCCATTTGGAGGTAAACTGTGGTGCATGCTGCCCGAGCTCAAGTTCAGCAGTGGCCTAGAGTAGAACCTATGCTGCACTAAATCAGGATCTAATTCTCCAAGCAGAGATGTCCTTGAAAGGGGTTAAGGGAACAGAAAACTACTCTGGGGGAATGTTTCTTACAACTCCACAACACATGTCCTGAGCACCTTCTTCCACCTATAATCACACAAAAAGCTAAGCAAGAAGATGGAACATAGGTACTATCTTGGTAGAAATAAGACAAAGTTGAATTGGCTGAAACACATGAGCTTGAAGGTCAAATCTCTCATACCATGACTTAGTTTATTTCCCTTTGCTGCACAGATATCCAAGTGCAGCAGTATAAACAGTAATAAACACCCCTGCACACATACATATGGTTATATTATACCATTCTTCCAGCAACTCTATGAGTGGGACTATTAACTATATTTGAGATGATAAAATTGAGGATTAAAAAAATTAAGTAAATTGTCCAAAGTCCATGATCTATAAGAAGTAGAGTCAACATTTAAAATTAGTTCTATTGAATCCACATCCTGTATACTTAGTCATTATGCCACACTGACTTTAAGATACTTTGCCCCTCTCCCTCTCTTTCTCTCTCTCTCTTCCGCTTTCTCTCTAACTATTGCAGAGTGGAAACTATTTCTTTATTCCCCACATAGTTTAGCGCAGCGCTTTGTACATATTAGGTATTTGATAAGTGCATGTTGAACTATTTCATTTCAGCTTGTAAAACAATTCCTAGAAAAAAAGTCACTGGATCAAGTTCATTTGCAGCTTTTTAAAGGATACATTCTTTCATCACAAAATTATTTTGTTCATGGTGTTGCCACTTCCTCTCCAAATTTGTAAGCTAAAAACACAAAAGAAAAATGTTAACCAGTGCCCATATTCACAAAAATTATTGTATACCCTTTTAAGGGAATAGGAAAAAACACAGTTTTAAATCTTATCAACTCCTTGTATGAGATACAGCCATGGTAGACAAAAAACAAATTTAGGGAATATTAAATAATAGTAAATACATTAATAAATACAATGTTGACTTTGACAATTGGTTTACTCTATGTTTATTTTAGTAGGAAATTATTTAAAATACTTATTATACCAATGAACACACCAATTGAAAGACAATTTATGGTTTATACCTTTCCTAAAAGAAATTAAAAAAGAAGAATGAGACATCATGGGAATCTCTCCTTAAAATCTAGAAGTCTAATGCCACAAATGTAATATATATTCTAACACTGTCAAAGGTTCAGCTATATAGGAGAGACTTCCTTATTTCCAGGGCTAAATTTCCTGTCTAATTCTACAAGCTGTGATAAGAGCAGAGCTGCAGTGTGAAGATTATAAGAGGGCTGGTGAAAAGCTGGCACTGTTACAATAATTTCTGCATCAACAGGAAGCTAATGTGGATATTATATTGATGGTTGCTTCCTCAGAAGACAATTTTACTGTTATAGGATTAAATTGTTTTTCTGATTTAATTAACCTTGTAACTCGGGTTACGGTCTTTCTTTTTTAAGATGCACATAGGTTTTTTTTCCACTAATCAAAGTAACTTCTGAAAATTAAACATAAAATATTCTGCCTGGACACTTCTAAGACGTAATGATCATTTTAAAAAATCTGATAATTAAAGCAGCTGTAGTAATATTTCTTCATACTCTCATGCTAAACTTACTTTGAGGGCATAAGTTCAGACTTATGTAGTATCCATCCTATTGTTTCCTGCTAAGAGATAAATCTAGATATTAGGATGAATCATGACTAATAAATTATGTGAACTTTATGTGCTGTGAGTTAACACAACTAAATCAGATCTAGTTCCCCCAGATAGGACCTTGAAGTGAAGGTGGACTTAAGGAAGCAGTCAGCACTTTTTGACAATAAATCTAATAACCTTTTGCAAAGTCAAGTACCAAACTTTTCCCTCTTTGCTTCACACAAAGACATGGCCTTCTTATAAAGCAGCAGACCTCTTAAGAGCTACACAAATAATGCTATAAAAGCAACACTGTCAGGTAGTCACGTTCCTTCTATATTATACATCTATATTACTTACTTGCCTTTAAATCTCCAAGTCTATCATGAAGCACAGTTCTGTTTTATTCTACAACTTATTTAAAACATCTGCTATAAGTTCTTTAGTTTAGATATTAACCCTTATCATATATGTGATTTGCAAATATCTTCTCCCATTCCATAAGTTGCTTTTTCATTTTGTTGACTATGAAAGGAAAAGAAGCTTTTTAGTTTGATGTAGGTCCACTTACTTATTTCTGCCTCTGTGGCTTGTACTTTTGGTGTCATACCAAAAAATCATTGTCAAGACTAATATTCCTGTTTCCTTCTATGAATTTTACAGTTGTTCCACTATAAATATGTTTAAATGATTTCAAATAACTAATAGCCATTCAATCAAAAAACAGTCTGTGATATAAAATTATTTATAGATGTCAAAAACTAGTTTTTTATGAAATAGTTGTAAAAGATAGGGAGATCAGGATTTGATTTTTCTAGATTCAAAAAAGGAAACAAAATAGTACAGAGGATTGTACATTGTGTCTTATGTTATAAATTCCTCTTATCAGTATATGGGGTTAAGATTGTGATTAGCACTTAATGTGAAAATAAACAAGGTAGCTATTAACTGGCCCTAAGAAATTGTGTTTGTCAAGTATTTCCCTCCCTCTTCCATAAGAAATATCAATATTTTTTCCTACGAATCATTTAAGACGATGACCCCATAAACATTTTTTAGGTTTTTTCCTCCAGTACCCATCCCCACTGTAAACATCTTAGGATAATTTTATCACTTACAAGTCTATTGAGATTTGCATATTATGAAGTAGAGACAAAATAACTGACCGATAAATTTGAATTATGTGAATTAATGATTTCTAAGCTTTTAGTAGTTGTGGCAAACTCTGGTGAACCTCTACCCCATTCAAGAAGAATATAAAATATACCTTTTTTAAAAAAATGGTACATCCATACAATGAAATAGCTGATGTCATAAATGTCATCATAAAAGAGCTTGAAAATATTTAAGTCCGAAAATAAATGCTTAAAGACTGTATGCATAGAATGATTTCATTTTCTTGTAAAAACAATATAATTAATATTGGTGAATAATTGCAAAGGAAAAAGTTTATAAAATGCTATAACAAAATGTTAATGACTGACTATCATGATATTATAATATAAAGAAAAGGAAGAAAAACTGTTAATGCATTTTGCATTAATAAATCATAGTTGCAAATTGCTAATATAGACTAATTAGATACAAGAATGACCAATCTTTATAAGACCATAATTATTGATTTTGTACATAACACACATACTTCATTTAATGTTACAACAAATACTTATTAAACTTCTATTATGTGCCAACCACTAACACAGTGCTAGGGAGAAAATGAATGGAACAAACATCATCTCCGTCATCTCAGACAGAGCTCTCAATCTAGAAGACCTCAGACATTGCTCAGGTAATTATTAGGAGGATGAGTGATATGAAAAGGGGGCTTGTCTGTGCATCCTGTGTAAATAATCATAGATGTAAATCAAGAAGTTCAAGGATAAGACTGCTCTTTACAGCATTATTTGAGTAGTTTTAAAAATTGGAATAACCTAAATGTCCAATAATATAGAATTGGTTCAGAAAATTACATGACATTCATGAAGTCAAATACTATAAAGAATTATATATTAAAAATCTATAGACAATGTATAGTTAATAATGGAAAACAGGTGTGAGGTGACATCTCATTGCAGTTTTGATTTGCATTTCCCTAAAAGTTACTGAAATTGAGCATGTTTCCATACATCTGTTGGCCATTTGCATGTCTTTTTGGGAGAAGGGTCTGTTCAGGTCCTCTGCCCATTTTTTAATTGGATTGTTTGTTTTTTTGGTGTTGAGTTGTATGAGATCTTTATACATTTTGGATATTAACTCCTTGTCAGAGCTGTTGTTTGAAAATATTTTCTTTCATTCGATTGGCTGCCTTTTTGTTTTGTTGGTGTGTTTTTTTGCTGTGCAGAAGTTTTTTGGTTTGAGATACTACCTCACACCTGTTAGAATGGCTATTATTAAGTAATAACAAGTGTTGGAGAGAGTGTGGAGAAAACCCTCATTCATTGCTGGTGGGAATGTAAACTGGTACAGACACTATGGAAAACAGTATGAAGGTTCCTCAAAAAATTAAGAATATAGTTACCATATGACCCAGCAACCCCTCTTCTGGGTATCTACCCCCCAAATTTGAAAACATTTATTTGCAAAGATATATGCGCCCCTATGTTCACTGCATCATCATTCACAGTGGCCAAGATATGGACGTACCACCCTTTGATAGATAACTGGGTAAAAAAGATGTGGTACATAAATACGATGGAATACTACTCAGCCATAAGATGAAATACTGCCATTTGTGAGAACATGGATGGATTTTGAGAATATCATGCTAAGCGAAATAAATAAGACAGAAAAAAGTCAAGAACCATATGATTTCTCTCATATGTGGGATATAAAACTGAAAGCAACAAATGAAGACAAACAAACAAAAACTCATAGACACAGACAACAGCATGGTGGTTACCAGAGGGAGAGGGGTGGGGGGTAACAAAGGATAAAAAGGGCAAATATATGGTGACAGAAGATTTGACTTTGGGTGATGGGCACACAATGCAATGTACAGATGATGTATCATAGAATTGTACACTTGAAACCTATGTAATTTTATTAATGTTACCCCAATAAATGTAATGTAAAAAATAAGAAATAAGTTTCTAAATAACATGTACAAAATGATAGCATTTCCATAAATATATAGAAATAAATATGTACATATATATGTATGTATAAAGTGTGTGTACATACAACTTATACGTAAAGACTAAAAGGACCACACAAAAATGATAAGAATGATAAGAATTATCTCTTCTGGATGGTGGAATATTAGTCATTAGGGTTTATTTTCTTAATTTATAGATTTTATGAGTTCACAATGCTTTACTTTTGAAAAATTTAAAAACCATTATCCTAATAGCTGTGCCCAGAACAACGCCTAGCATAAGAAGGCCTTCAATACAGATTTATAGAAGGCAGAAAAGCAGGACTAAATTCATTTGAGTGGAGATTATCTGGCTATCTACAAAGCCAGAAAATTTGAGAGGTAAATAAAACAGATGGGAAAAAAGGGAAAGGATCATTTTGGGGTGAAAATATTAAGAGAACAGGACAGGTAACCTATAAATAAAAATGAATTTCAAAGTTTGCTTTTTCCTTTTTACCTGAGAATGTGTCTCATTTTCTTGCAATTGTGTTTTTAGTGTCTCATATTCTGTGTTTAGCTTCTCCGTTATTTTCTTAAAGGTATTTCTGCGGGTTGATAATACTGTTCTCTCCTGATGTAATTTCTAGATAGATCCAAATAGAAGTAAATAACAGGCTTTAGCAATATCTAGTAAGCCAATATACTGTAGATTGAATTTGACAAATATTTTCAATGATATTCTGACATATTCTACACCAAGGCTATAATTACTCTAAAACCCTGTTTGTAAAAATATCCTTTGAACTATAATAAGCTAAATTAATATTAACTATTTTAATAACTCTCTTAAGGCTCTCATATCTATTCCTACCCTACCAAATTTACATTAATGTAAATGGCAATGAAAAGCCACTGACAATTCTTAAATAGTGAAGTATCGTAATCAAATCTGCATTTAACAAAGTTCATATTTGTTGAAATGCTCTATCCCTTGCTTTTCAATTTGCGCCTTTGGTTTAAAATTTAAATCACTCTAATCTCCTACTACATATGTAAACATCTTTATTATTTTTTCTTAAAATACAAATAATCAACAGAAAATAATAAATTCTCTATACATATTAAATTTCATAAAGAAAATACAACTTGAATAATTTTGTAATACTTTTACTGTTTACCTTTTTCTTTTCTTCACCTGATGATTTTAAAGCTGGCAAATCATTAAATGTCTCCAGATCAATCATCATTTGCTTAATTTTGCTTTTTAGAGAATGCTGTTCCTCAGTCATCTTACTTTCCAGAAGCTCCATTTTCTGTAGATCCAACTGTAGACGTTGACTGTCTGAAACACAGGAAAATTCAAGTCCATAATTGGTCAAAACCTCATTCCTTTCACAAAAGGAAATGCAATGCAACCATTAAAAATCATATTTTATGAAAGCATTGGCAAAAGAAACATATCCACTGCAACCAGTGAGACAATACAAATATAAATCAAGAAAAAAAATACTCATATCCCAGGTAATCAACGTAGCCTTATGTAAAATGTGTATTAGCTATACTTGTCTCCATACTCATATGAACATATAATGAGACAGTTCTTTTCTTAATAATATAACATATCAGATAAAGAGCCATTATTTTAAATAGGTACATGACACATATACACAGTTATGTAGGGGGAAAGAAAGTTATAAAACATAATACATATATATATATTTATATATATGTTTGAGCATAATTTTATAATTACATGTAGTCAATTTTCATTATTTGTGGTAGTTATAGTTTATAAAGTCACCATGAACACTAAGTTAGCAAATACTGAACTATTGCTCCTGGCAAAATACAGGGTTAGGTTCCTGTGAGTCTCTGGTCACAGTATTTTCAACTAATATATAACCTTGTTTTATGTGTTTCTGTTTAAACACACTGTATAGAATATATTTGTTGATTTGTTAGCATTGAACTCACTGTCAAGTTATGCCTGAAAAAAGCGTATCTCCATAACGCATATCACATCAAGCCTTCTTGTGCTCAGGAACACTAGCCAACACTCACGCACTATGCTTGGGGGCCATTTTAAAAGGCAAAATCAACCCAAAAAACACAGAATGTGGGGAAAAGTGGCACTAAATATACCACAAGAAGGACATGTCTACAGTGTGAGAACTAAAGCAAGTTCTTGCCTTATTTCACCTCCACCTGAAATGCACGTCAGACAGTTCAAATTGTCACCAGTCCATACATGTGCACAAATGACCATGAAAGTACTGCTAAGTATTGATTTTGGGGTTACAAATTAATTTTAGTGAGTAGATAAATTCACAAATACAGAATCCATGAATAGTGAAGATTGACGGCACATGTGTTCATCTGTGTGTCTCATTCTTTGTTTCAGAAGTACTGAGCATCTACTATGTCCAGCTGCTGAGGATAATGAAGGAAATCAACAGAGATATTACTTGAGCTCAAGGAACTATAGATCAGAAGTAAAACAGAAAATTAAATAAGCATGTACATTAAATTGGATAACTACAGTAGTTGCCCCTAATCCAAGGGGAATATATTCCAAGACCCCCTTGTGGAGGCCTGAAACCTCAGATAATACCGAAGCCCATATATCCTATGTTTTTTCTCACACATAGATACATACCTATGATAAAATTAATTTATAAATTAATTCAGAATTTAAGTTATAAACTAATAATTAAACAGAATGATTGTAACAATAATAGGGTTTACGTGAATATGAGCACTGCAATACCAAGAGAACTGATCTGCTAACCGAAATGGCTAATAAATGACTAAGGAGCAGGTGGCATATACAGCCTGAATATGCTGGACAAATGGATGATTCATGTCCCACGCAGGACAAAGAAGGATGGTGCAAGATTTCATCACACTACTCAGAAAGGTGTAAATTTAAAACTTAAGAATTATTTCTGAAATTTTGCATTTAATATTTTGGACCATAGCTGACAGCAGGTAACTAAAACCATGGAGAGCAAAATTATGGATAAAGGGGGACCACTGTAAAGAGTAAGACAGGGTGAGTAAGATCATGGTCCAAAGAGCTCTCCAAAACCATCTTTCTTAACTGAGGCCTTAAGGATTGGGAATCATCCAAACAAAAGAGAAAGTAAAAGTGTTCTGGTGTGTAGTCTAGAGGTAAGAAAGCATGGTATCTTTGAGTGAATAACAGAAGTTCAATATGACTAGAACTCTGAGTTCAAAGTGGGTGGTGGTAGGAGATAAAACTGAAAAATTAGAAGGATTTCAGAAGGGCTTTTTAAGTCAAGATAGGACACTGGGACTTTATCCTAGGGGCTAGGAGGGACAGTCAGCTTTAAATCTGAGTGTGGCATAATTTAATCTTAGAAAGTTCACTCTGGTTGCAATGTGGACAATTATTGGAATAGCATAACTATGTGCAGGACAATCAGTTAAGTGCTGATTCAGTAATCTAAGCAAGAAATCTTAGACTGGTGTAGTCAGTTTGGGAATTTTTTTAATTAAACAATTTTTTTAAAATGCTTTCTATGTGCCAGGCAAACTTCTAGGCCTGGAGGATATAGCAATGAACAAAACATAGAACTATCTGAAATATACAGTTATGTCAGATAGAAATAAATGAGAAAATAATGCAGCAGAGATCTCAAGAGACTCAAGACATATAAGGGATTTGGGATTAATGAAACAATTGATTGGACACAGTGGTTGAGCAAGGAATCAATACAGAATTCTATTCCAACTTGAGTAAATGAGATACAAACTTTTGTTTGGGGAATGGAGTGAGATGATGGGTTGAAGTCAATTTAAGATATGTTGCATTTGGAATACCTCAGAAACATCTAATAGAGACAAGTAAGATGTCCATGTATGGGCCTGCGAGGTCTGAAGATACCTAGGACCTTTCAGATTTTGAAATCATCAGCATAGAGATGACTGAAGCTACAGAAATGGCTGAAATCATTGAGAGAAAAGGATTCATGACAGAACCTATATGACTAAATTGACATGAAGGAGCCTATAAAAAAGCATAAGAAATGACCAAAGAAATAAGAGGAAAATCAGAAGCCTTGGGAGAAAGACATTTCACAAAGCGGTTTGTAGTACATAGTACTACTTAGAGATTTTAAAAAAAAATAGCTAGGGTGAAGGGTTCATTTTTAAGATAGCAAATACTACTTTATGATAAAAAAGATGCTTCTATGAGAAAAATGAGCCATGGAAAAAGAAAAAATAACACATGGTCAATTTTGTTACTTCAGGCTTCTCTCCTCAGGGACATAATTCTTTGTTTGGCTTTCCTTAGCTACCAAAGTAAAATCTGATTAGAGCTAACTCAAAAATGAATACTAATATGGAAATGAAATACAGGTCCCGTGTATTCAGATGAAGAAATCTGAATTCAAGCATGCCTTGGCCAATTTCCTTTCTCCTGTGTTCTCAGTTAGATGTGTTAATAATCCTATACATCAAGTAGCTACTTATTGTAGATAGAGGCATATAGCATATAGTAGTAATACAGTTTCATCTTAGAACATTTTGCCTTCACTTTTCCTCTATTTTAAAGTAGGACTATGAGTGCCCTCAGAAAAATAATGATGGTATTTTACAGTGTCAATGTCAAATGTAAACATCTTCCTTTTAGTACGTACAGATTTAGGGGTGAAAGATTTTTAAAGAACAGGTTTTGGAGTAAAATACAAAATTAAAATTAATTTTTACTGATAAAAATTTAATCTTACAGTGAAATGTATTGTTCCCCATATGTATTTCTCTAGTTCCTTTCATTGTTTTTTTCTTCTCTCTCTCTCTTTTTGCATTTCAGCAGTGTAACTAGGATGTGCTTAGGTGAAGGATTTTTATATTAATACTGTTTGGGGTTCAATGAGCTTCTTAGATCTATAAAATTAAGTTTTTCATGAAATTTGGAAAATTTTTAGATACTATTTCTTCAACTATCTTTTCTCCCCCATTCTTGGTCTCTCCTCTCTGTTTGGGACACCAATTATATGTATGTTAGATTGTTTGAAATTGTCCCACAGATCATTTAGGCTCTGTTCATTTTTATTTCTCCTTCAGATTGGATAATTTCATATTGATTTCTCTTCAAGTTCACCAACTCTTTTTTCTGCTGTCTTCAATCTTCAATTAAGGTCAATCAGTGTTTTTTCCCCACTTACTTAAATTTTCAATTCTAGTTTTCACATAGTTCTTTTTCTAATTTCCATTTCTCTGTGGGATTCTCTATCTGTTCATGTATTATGATATGATTTCCCTTTAAGTCCTTAAATATATTTATAAACTTTTAAAGTCCTTTTCATTTCAACATTTGGATTATCTCAGGTTCAATGTATAGTGACTGTTTTTCCTTTGATTCACATTTTCCTATTTCTTCATGTTTAGTAAGTTTTTATAGTATAATGGACATTTTACTTTTTTAATGTTTTTAAAATTTATTTTAGAGAGAGAGGAAGGGAGGGGGACAGACAGAAGAAACATCGATGAGAGAGAAACACTGACCAGATGCCTCGAGCCTACAACCTGGGCATGTCCCCTGACCAGGAATCAAACCGGTGACTTCTTGGTTCATGGGTTGATACTCAACCATTGAGTAACACCAGCCAGGCAGTATAATGGACATCTTAAATGATATGTTGTAGAGGCTCTACTGCTCCTTTCGAGAATGACTTGTATTATAAATGAGCAATAAAGTTCACTGAACTAAAACTCTAAACTTTTCTCCTTTGGAATGGGAAGCATCTGAAATCTCTGTATCAGGTCTTTCAATTTCTAGCTGCTACTTTTTCCTAGGTCCCCTAAAGTCTACCCAATGTAAAAGTAGCTCAATAGTCAGATCAGAATTTGGGTAGAATTTATACAGGCATACCTTTGAGATATTACATGTTTGGTTCCAGATCACTGCAATAAAGTAAATATCATAAAGTGAATCACACAACTTTTTGGTTTCTCAGTACATATAAAAGTTATATTTACACTATACTATAGTCTATTAAGTGTACAATAGCATTATGTCTATAAAAACAATGTACGTACCTTAAAAATATTTTATTAATGCCCTAGCCAGTTTGGCTCAGTGGTTAGAGGAGTGGCCCACAGACTGAAGGGTCCCAGGTTTGATTCCAGCCAAGGGCATATACTTCAGTTGCAGGTTTGATCCCCGGCCCAGGGCAGGGCAGGTGCAGGAGGCAACCAATCTATGTGTCTCTCACGCAGATGTTTCTCTCTCTCTCTGAAAGCAATGGAAAAAATATCCTCAGGTGATGATTCAAAATAAATAAAATTTTAAAAATATATATTTTATTACTAAAA